TATAGACTACTAACTTCCTCATGAATGTCTTTATTATGCTTCTACTCTCCATCTCACCTGTTTCAAATACCATGGGACAGTTACTCAACCCCACCCTAGGTTTGTCAATCATATATCAATCTTTCCCTCTTGACTCAATGTTGATCTTTATTTGGTAACCAATGGGCAGTTTTCTCACTCTTTAGTGGATACTTTTCCTTTAGTGATAGATGACCAAATACTTTCTTCACATCCCGATTTATCTGTCCTCCTTTCACTTCTTTCAGTTTGTCTGCAGTGATTGAACATTTGGTTGTCAGTCCTTACTTTTGAGTTGGCCATGGTCTCATCTTGTTTCATTGTGTCTGGTAGGAGTTTTAACTTGGAAATTACATTCTTGAGGGCTATTGTTCCTCTACTCTTCCTTCTCCTTTGGAAGTTATCTCATTTGGGGTGGCAGCTTCAACTCTCCATTTCAATCACAACCCCCATCTTTTATTTCATTCACTTGGTGGTGTCTCTCACTTCATGTGTGTGGCAGGCTCAGTCTACTTCTTTGTCTTTGTGACATAAAGCTTTTGATTTCAGGGCTCTCATGTCTTTTTCAATTCATGTGTGAGTCTTATTTTGAAGACTCTGTGGTTTGTAGCTGGTCAATTGAGATATCTCCAGAGATGCACTATCTTTTCCAATCTTGTATTCATGTTGGTTCACTTGATTCAACAGAACTCTGAACATCTTTCTTCCCCCACCTTACCCAAATTTGCATCTGTTTGAAGAAGTCATTTTGTGGGCTGCTTATGGTTACATATGTGGGTTTCCATATCTGCACAACCTCTCACCCTTCATGTGTACTTCCTGTGCATTTAGATTACTTTGTCCAGAATGAGCCTATGTTGAAATGCTATTGCTTGTGGGGGGATTACTGAGCAGATGATGTGTCACCCTCCTATTGGTGAAGGACTATAGCCTAATGATGATTAAAGCATAGGTGGATGCAATACACCTTGACATTTGTAGGGGTAGGAGCTTTGTTCAAGGCTTGTGGCATGCACAGGAATTTACATGGCAGTGAATGCAAGGTAGTAGCTCCTTGTGATGCAGAAATAAAGAAAATGTTAACTTTGAATAGTTGATGTAAATCATGCTTTTATAACATGGATCTTCAAGTTGTCAAAATTCGATTTTTTTACTCCATGTCAAAAATATTCACCAGTGACATGTAATTGGGGGAAAGTGAATGCAAACTGTAGGTTCTGACATCTGCATGATCATAAAGTTAGATTATCTCTTGGTAACCTGGCTTTTCAGTATTTTAGTTATGATTATTATCATACAAGGAGATCTTACCATGTGTGTAATATTTTTATATAAAGATGCTGGCTGATTGTTTGATTGTTTTAGAGCAAACCACATTGGGCTATCTGACGTGTCCACTGCAGGGAATCAAACCCTGGATGTTAGCATTGTAAGTCTGTAAATTCTAATATGATACTTTACCTCTTCTTACATAATAGCTTTTCTCATTTAGTGCTTCCCTCTACATGCACAAAGTTTTTGCTCGCCACTCTCCTGGATACTCCCATCTACCCCACATGTTTAACATGGTACAGCTGCAATGTAGCATTTGTGTTAGCTTGTTACAACTCTAAACCAATAAGTGTGTGACACACTCTGCTGGCATAGTTGGCTCCTTTTATACTGTAGAACCCAATCTTCACTTCTCGATTTTGCACTGTAGCTTGAAGATGTGTTTGAATTTCACTTGTGTTTGATTTAAATTTTTGTATTTTCAATTTATTCAAAAACTTAGTTGTTTCTGTTTTTCTTTTTTATACAGTTAAACTCGTTATTGTAGGTTGTTAATTTTTTATCAATTGAATTATGAATTCCAAATTTCAAATCACCACTACTACCACAGTACTTAGCACTAGAACTGCACTCAACCTGCAGTTTCTCTGGCTTCAGGTTCCACACTTTTAGTACATTGTGAATCCATTATGTGGCCTGTGGTGTCTCCTGATCCCAAACAGATATTTCTATTCCTGGTGAACCTGGATAGGATGACAACAATTTAGATAGCCTCTTTCAACCACTTTCTTTTGCCATACAATCCCGACTTCCACCTGTAGACACCTCCAGATCATCTTCAGCCTTCTTGGATATGGTTTCACGGGTATGTTACCTTTTGTCTGTGTCTTATGATTCCTCTCCTTTCCTCTTGCATTCTGCCCCCTTCCTGACTACCTGGTTTTCCTTTACTCTCCAGATATCAGGGTTCATGCTGACCAGTTTGTAGCACAGTTACGTTCTGGCATCAGCATGTCTTGTCTGCCTCATATCTCAGATAATTATGCTTGGGTATACCACCATTCAAATTTTCTGTTTCTCGATTCTCAAACCTTAGAGTCTGATACAGGTGTGGGGTTCTGACCCTGATACCTTTGTTAGATTTTCCTGTCTCCATTTATCCCTCTCCATTCTCCTGCATTACCTTTCCTCCATCCATCTCCTGTTCAAGGCTCTCCACTTCTCTCCTGCAGGGTTTTCAGAGGATGCTCACTCACTTATGTATTCCACATTGATGCACTTATCTTACTCAGTCCTTTTCCTTCAAACTTGGCTCTTTGGTTTTTGTAATCTCTTGGGTAGGGACGTGCTGTTAACTAATGTGCACCTACCCATGTCTTATTTACAGGACCTCTGTATGGTTCTGCTTTTACATGAAACAGTTTTTGGAGATCTTCCCAATCCTTTGGAGACCAGGGTGGAGGCTGCTCATCAACACTCCTCCCTTTTGTCCTTGGTTTCTCACTTATCACAACCTCGCCTGCTCCAATTCTCGGGTCTCTGTGGTTAGCCATTGCCGGGTCCCCTGCCACCAAAGGTACTGATGACTATCCTATAGGTTCTGTTAAGGTCAGTGCACATTAGCACATTTAGCCAAGTTTATGCACCTATGGAACTATTTCACCTCAGATCTTTAGGTGCTTCAGGTGTTGTCAAAAGGTCTTTATTTTCATTTTCTCAGTCCTCCTCCCTTATCCCCCTCATCCCATCACTATCCCCTTCTCAGGATCCTATTTCTTGCCAACGTTTCTCTGAAGTGGTTAAGACTTATTCTTCTCAAGGATGCTATAGAACCTGTCAGTCATCTTTCTCCAGGATTCTATTCTAGGTTGTTCCCAATTTTTAAGAAGACCAGAGACTGGCATCCTATTATAGATCTTTCCCATCTCAATTGTTTCATCAACCTTCCTTGTTTCACCATGGTGTCCTTCTTCACAATTTCATGGGTGTTTACTCTGGGTCTTTGGATAACAAAGATGGATGTCACAGATGCTTACCTTCACATCCCTATTTCCCTGACATCCAGATGTTACCTTCATTTTGTCCCCAAAGCCCAAGTTTATGAATTCTGCATGTGCAATTTGGTCTGGCATCTGCACCATATGAATTTAATTGGGTAGTCAGGGCTTTTGCTCGGCTTATTCATTCTCATGGTCTGCAGTTCCACCATTACATGGACAAACTGGCTGCTATTAGCTCCATCCTATTAAACATCTTACAAGCACACACAGCTACTTCTTCAGGTGGTGGCTCAGGTGAGTTGGTTTGTCAAGTTGGAGAAATCCTTTCTTATCTTGACCCAATACCTTATCCACTTGGGAATATTTTTCATCTCCTGCCTCAAATATAAAATTGAAATGGGGGCACCCATCCATGTTTGCTTTGTTTCTGAATGTTAGAACTCCTATTCTGGGCCTATTCATATCACATATGCCTACTGCCATGTCATGTTCTAGGTGCTCTGAATCTTGTTGTGGATTGATTGTTTCGTCTCAAGAAGATTCTCCCCACGGATCCTCAGATGTTTTGATGGTTGTACGACCAGTGGGGCATTACTCTTCTGGCACATTTGCCACTCATCTCGGTTCCAAGCTACCTCTTTTTTTGTCTCCAATTCTGCATCCTTTGGATTTGGTGGTGGATGTCTTCAGTCAGGATTGGTCCCACTTTTACCTATCCTTCTCTTTTCCAGTTTTATCCAATCCACTCCATGTGGGGTCCTTCTGATTGCATCTTTCTGGCCTGCTCAACCTTAGTTTTCAGGCCTTCTCCTCTTTCAGTAAGCACCTCTGTTACTGCCTCTGTTTTTCCTCTCCCTACAACCTCAGTCGCTGATGTATCATCCCACCATCACAACACTTTGGCTTCTTGCATGGCATTTGTCTGGTCCCTTGCAAGGCAGGCTAGACTCTCCACATGAACAGTATTAGAGAAAATGTTGTGTTTTTTGACAGTGTGCCTCCTGTCTCTGAACATTACCTGACTGTTCAACAATGGTTCTTCTATATCTTCCATTGTTGGTTATAGGGCAGCCTTACTTAATACCTTCCATTTCTCCTCTTCCTCTTCGGTCCTTTCCCTTTTGGTTGTTCCTTTTGTTTCCTTCGTCCTCCTCATCCTACACCCTTTCCAGATTGGAACCTCAGTGTTGTTCTCTAAACTATTACCCAACCTTATTTCAAACCCTTGGCTACCCGTTCCTTATACAATTTGTCCATAAAGACTTCTTTCTGCTTCTTTTTACCTTTGGTCATCATCAGTTGGATGTTTTTGCTTTCAACTTATCACATGTCCTTTATCACCATTCCTATGTTCTGTATCTGGATCACAGTTTTTTCCCCTCCTTCAATTTCTATTTTTGGTGTTATTTCAGGTTTGGACAGATGCTCTTGTTCAGTCCAGGCCACTCAGTGTAGTGTCACACTCTTCCTCTTTGTGGTCCCTTTCACTGCCCTTTTGTAACTGGGATACCTCCCATCCCATTACTGTCTTGTCTCCAGTAGCATACAGACTTCCACTAACAGCCATTTTCAATTAACCCTGCACTTGTAATGGGTGTGAGTATTCATTTACTTGTTCCTTCCTCACCTTTCTTCTACATTTGGATCCCACTAGGTAGCTAGCGTTGCCTCACAGGGTATAATTACCCAAACTTCCACATCAGGCTGGGATAACGGAAAGTGCTCGGACTATCTGCTCTAGCTCACTAACTGCCCAATGTGAGATGGTGTGATCTCCCATGGTGCTTATGCTTTATTTTGGCACTTTTGAAAGAAAGGTCATCTAGGTCATTTCTGCACTGGTCCTTCCGCCACTTCAATGTGGGACTCTAGCTGTTATGTGTATGGAAGTGAGTCATCATATTGGAAGTTAGCATTTTCTTTAACTGAAAATGTATTTCCAATAGATACTCACCTCTGTACATGTTCCCACCCATCCTTCCCACTTCCCGGTGCACTTTTTTGATTGCCAAAGAATTAGGATTTTCCTGCATGTGTGTAAAGGGAGCATTTGTGTGAGGAGGTGTGTCATCAGGCAGTAGTGTTAATTCACATGTTTTCGTGTGAATTTTAGGTGGTGAGTTTCACAAGGCTGGTAACATGCAAATCTCTGAGGCAGAATAGTGTGTCTTCAAGAGGAAACTGGGTGTTCTATGTATGGGTATTTTTCATAGTTAAGGAAAATATTAACTTTTAAAACAAATATTTTGGTTAAAAAAAGGATTTTTTGTTTCCATTACATTTATATGTTTGCTACTCAGTGAAATAAAAACTGAGGTCGAGTTTAGGTGAGCTTTAGAATGACATATATATACATGGTGAGGTTCAACTTCTTACCTTTACCTCTATGTCTTGTTAAAGAGATTTTCTCCATAGAAATACTACACTGAATAATTTGTTCACAACTTAAGTACATTATACGTTAACAGATTAAATGCCCTTTCAAACACCATGAAATACGGGATAAAACTTCATAGCATGCTTCTTTATTCAATTATAGTGAAAATTATATGATTGAAACAGATTCAAAATGTTACTAAAGTGTATTTTTGAGCATCAGTTTAATATTTAGGATGTTATATGTAAGAACTTCTTTAGCCTGAGTTTTCTGCAGTGATCATGGGCTTTTAATAACACATTTTGTCTGCATTCAAATGTCTTTAGTACATTTTTTAGTGTTATATGTATTACAGATTAATAGTTGTTGTTTTTTTAACAGGGGCGTACAAGAGCTTTCACAAAGAGTGGATATCTTATAAATACTTTTCCATCAGAACTACCAGGAGGAAATAGAAAACAAAGAAAACATTCTGTGGGTAGGTGTGCATTCTGTTGCTATTGTTTTCATGCCAGAAACTTTGCTGGTTATCACACAACTCGTGTGTGAACAATTGAATAAAAGTCACATGAATGAAAGTGTTATCAACATATGACTATTGTTTGATTATTTGAATAAAAGAACATTAATAATAACCAACAAAAAAGTATTGTTTGATTAAATGAAAAGAAATAATGGCATATTTTCTTTGAATATACAGTATCAATGTTTTGATGATTAACAAATCTAATGTAATGCTAACAGAGTAGTTGAGTTAGTCAAATCTATGCAAGGATCTCACAGAGAGATGGCAATTACGTTTAAGTGGTGAATAAACTTCTGTGTTAATCTTTCTTGTGGTCAAGAATTTTAAATATGCTGCATTGTCATAAAAAAATTCAATTTATAAATAGTGATTAGCGTATTCATATATTTTTAAGAAATATGATTATGTACAATAAATCAGTTCTTTAAAAGTATCATTTTTTGTCAAAATAATTGTAATCTACAGTAAAATCCCGAAACACCAGAATTCCTGAAAAGCATCAACTTTACTGTTATTATATAGGGGGATACTTTGAATGGAATTTTTTGTGTGGAGTAAGGAGTGACTCTTGACTTATTCCTCCTAGTAGTAGCCAGGTAGTTTGAGTAGTTAAAGACTTCAGTAGTAGCATTAGCTAGTGGTTTAACTTTTTAATTCTGTTGGTATGAGCTAATATTTACTGTTGCCAACAGGAAAAAAGGAAGTTTTATTTTAAAAGTGTTAGGACATTACTGTCGTATAATACTGTGTAAAAGTCTGCATAAAATTCTAACTGAAAACAAATACACAAAACTGAAATTTTCTGCATTTCATCCAATATCTTTGTAAAATCAAAGTCAATAGTATAACACAAATTTCAAGGTTAAGTAGTGTTGTGATGGTAAATTGCATTTCATTTCATATACTTTACGTTTGATATATAGATTTTTAGTTGTTTTCCTAGGAGTACACCATATGACAGTCCTACAACACTAGGCTTTTTCATTATATTTAGACATTAAATATATCATTCAACAGGTTTAACCATTTTCAACATACAGGGAGAACAAGTTACCCCACATAAAATTTGCATGATTGATGAATATAAAGCAATATTGATCAGTGTGGAGTGAAAATATATGTTATAGACATTAGTGTTCTGTTGAAAAGACAAACGTCTTTTTTTTTTCTGACATAACTTCTACTTAAACAGTTCTAGCTATGACAGTTCACAATTACTGGCATTAAATAATGTCAGTTGCACCCCAACAGTTATGTAAAACTAAAGAAAACAGTGTGTTTACAGGTAGCAGTTTGAACTAAAGCAACAACAGTGTGTGTAAAGAGACCTAGATTGATGATGAAATAAAAAGAACCACAATGAAGATATTTGGATATTTCCATGATTTGGAAAGCAATAAGACTGATAGAAGCTGAAGAAAAACATCAACTCGTTGTAGAGTTACTTCAAGTCTCAAAAGTATGGTTAGTAGGTTGTGGCTCACATTCAGACCACTAGTATAGTTGGCAGGAGGCCTGGACAAGGTAGATCGTTGTCGACAACCCTACGAGATGACCACTATTTGAAAATGTGGGTTTGACACAACTGGCAGGCATCTGCTTCCCTGCTGAATCAACAGTTCACAGTAGCAACTATACAAAAAGTTAAAAACAGTCTTCATAAGGCTGTCCTTTCTGCTAGATGACCAGTAATATGTATTCTTTTAACCCATTGGCACAAAACACTTCAGTGATGTGAAGAACATGTAGATTGGTGAAACAACATGCTCATGAAGGTTTTTTCAACCTTTTTAGCAGTTGTGCCAATTTTACTTCCTGAATTTGGAGTAAAGTTCCATTTACCTAAAAATTGCACTCAAAAACAAAATGGGGAGGGAGGGTTCAAAGAGCCAAATTAGAAAACATTACAAATTAAATAAAGTCATTAATAATATGACATTTATGTCAGAAACATCAAACAAATTTGTGCTATGTGCACAGCTTGTAATATTTTTTTAAATTACAGCATAGAAGTGTTTTGTCTTGTATGTTGTACTTCACATTGAAGATGTATAATGCAAGATAAGATCTAACACACATTTCTATGTACTACAATATAGCATGAATGCTATACAACATAAGTGTACAGTCTTGTATATATAACCAATAGTTCAAATACATAGGTACAGTTGGTTAAAACTTTTTTTTTCTGATGGATTATAAAATGTGCCCTACTGCCTGTGATGGAGAAATGAGCTACATTGCCCTTGCAGCTTATTGATTCACTCATTTTAAACATGCCACGTTGATATAGGACTTGCATTAGTACCTGAGGTGATCAAACACCTTATTAACCAGCATTTCATAATCATTTGTTGAGCTGCAAAGTCTGCAGAATCAAATGTAAATTTAAAGACGTGGACTGTAATAGATATTTGCATGTCAGATCACCTGACATTTGTTTTCTATAAAACTGAACTCAAAAGTACAGACATTATTTAGTAATAGCTAGTAATTGTGCCTTGTCATGCTAGAATGTGGAAAACTGATTATATCCCTTAATTGTTTTATACCCATACATACATACATAAGTGTAGGACAGTTTTTATTTTTGTAATTTTGAATTTAATATCTTTTGAACAATAAGTGTTTTGTTGTTCAGTGCAAGTTTTTAATACCAGATATGTTTTACAGATTACACGTTGCTTGATTGTGTTTTTAATGAAAAGGAAAAAACATTCTTCATACTTGACATAATGTGTTGGAGGTCAAATCCTGTATTTGACAGTGAGGTGAGACTGTTGCAGTATTTGTATATTAATTGTAGATACTACCGAACATTCTTCCACAAACTGACACAATAGTTTTTTTTTTATATATCCAAGTAAGTTTGTGTAATTCGAGGATCATTTGATATAGCTGCTTGATATACTTTGCGAGTTTCTAGAACTTATTATACAGTATGAACTGCTTGATATCCTTTGACATCTAATGTAAAATTAATTGTTATTTTACTAACTGTATATAAAATTTTGTGATTTTACTGATTATATAAATGCTTTAACTAATTTTTAATTTTATGATTTTTCATTAGACAACTTTCAGGCATTGGTGGCTTCACACGAAAATTGCAGAGATTCCTGCAGTTCAAAAATGTTCAAAAGTAAATCCAGTAAGTTTAGTTATAAGTCTTGTATATGTTTTGATCCAAATTATGTTTATTACTACTTAGTAATATCTTTGAAAACTTAACTAAAATACACTTTGTAATTTTATCTTGCAGTTCTCTGCACAGGTTTTTATGAGAATTACATTTATAATATAAGATTTTATAAAAAAAAAAGTTTGGTGAATAGAAATTACAGGGAGTCCCTGTTATATGACATGATATATTCCTGGAAAGTAGGATATATGTCTGAAATGTCATTAAACAACACAATCTTTACATGTATTATGGGGGGGATGTGTGCCCGAAAAATTTTGTTCTGTTTTTGAATAACTTTTTTAAAGGGTGTAGCATGGCAATGTCCACAGCCCGTTCACCTGCCTCAAAGCATCATAAAATTTCCAGTTTAGTGCCACAGTTAACTGTTTTCCTGGGCTTCTTGGAAAAGGGCACTTTGCTATCACTAAGTGACCACTTTGGAACCATGTTGAAAGGGTGGAAACAAGGCTTTACTGCAGCAGAAAAAAAATAATGTGCTTAGATAATGGCATATGAACACATATTTACATCCTCCACAATCTTGGCCCGTGGATGACGTATCACACTCCGCCCAGTAAACTAGTCCAACAATATTGACATGCTCTAGTAATGAAACATGGTAACGTTGCCTCACACATGTATTGACAGTACAGTACTGTACAGTAATTGGTGAAATTTACACCTGGTAATTTAATATCTGACAATGTTTTAATGCTCTAGTAATGAAACAAGGTGACATTGTTTCAAAAATATTGATAGTAATTGGTAAACACTACATCTGGAAAAGTAGTCACCAATGTTGGAATGCTCTAGTAACGAAACAAGACGACGTTGTGTGATACATGAGTAGTAATTGGTGAATGCTCTGATAATGAAACTGTGCAAAGTGATTCAATGTGTAATGGAGACCCAGTATATTTTCAGTATTTTTAATCATGGCAATGTTTTTGGTTTATATTATCAGAATAAATTCATTAAATATCAGGGTTATATTCCAGGGTAATTGTTATAATAATAACAGTACAG